TAAAACATTGACTTTCCAACACCACTACCATAGTCAAAACAAAAAGAATTTTCTTTTATAGAAAAATTGCAGCAGATTTTGCAGGCATATAAGCCAGACTCTGAGTTAAGACTAAAAATATGCTGCACAAACAAACAGGGTTTGTGCATCTTATACCGAGGAGACTTATAGATGAAGGATGCTGGGCGGGCGGGCGACTGGAGAGGGAAGGGGAGATAAAGAGACAAGTTACTGCAGTTGTTCAAGCAGGAAATGTTTAGAAAAAGAGGTCTGCTTTAACAGCTGGCAGCCTGGTGCACCTTGGCTCGAATGCGGAAATTCTCCAGGTGTCTCTGACGAGATTCCTTTAGTATCTTCTTTAGTCTTGTCTTGTGGCAATGTAAAAGCCACGCAAGGGCAATCACACCTGAGGCCCACTTCTTCTGGCGATAACAAATGAAGAATTTTCTCGCCTTATAACACTTCCATGTGGCTTGGATCTTGATGGCAGCCTCGTTCTTTCCATCTTGGCCCTGATACCTCCGTCCCGGCAGGTTTAGCAGCATCTGGATGTGAAGCGGGTTCTCTAACACAGACAAAACGTCATTTCTGGTGAGCTTATTCTTCAGCTCAAATTCTGGAAGCAGGGCCACCAAACTCTTCCCTTTTACTTTGGCTTCCGTTATTGCATAGTCCTTGAGAAACTTCTCGATTTGTTGCAGGAGAGAAAAAATACTTCCCCAGGTTAAGCTATAATGTGCCTTGAAGGCTAAGAAGTCTGGAGCGGTCTTATCTATGGTACCATCATAAATGATAAAGTCATAATCCCATGATGACTTCACAGATTTAGCTGGTGTAGTAATTTTCATGGCCTGGGGAAAGAAAGTTTGCCAGAAGTGAAATATCTTCTGATTTTTTTAAGAGTGTGATCAACACATATGTACTAACACTTTGCAATTACCACTTAGTGATGGGAAAATATGGCTGCTAGGATTGATTTTACATATGTACATCAGGATGTCAAATACTGTCATTAAACTCGTTACCAGGGATATCTGAGAGATCAGGAAGGGCCATTAAACTGCTACAAAAGTATTTCTACATATATAATAAAAATTTATATATTTTTATATATTATATGGTGATATGTTCCTGTTTATAATATATAATTATCTCTTTCCTTGAGTCATTTATAACAGTTATATATAAAACACATCTTTACATATAATGATATATGTAAGATATATTTATCTTTATATATATGGTCACTGACCATACCAAAGGAAACTAAAAGCAGAAACTTTTATGATCTGTTTCCTTAAGTCATTTTACAAATTATATATACAATACAGATATTTATCTTTATTATTATATATTAGTATAGTTATTTATATCAGTGTATAATATCTCACAATTATTTTATCTATGCACCCATAGTCTTAAATAGCTATGTTGCTGATCCCTTTTTCTTAACTCGTCATCAAACCTAAAACAGGGAAGTACCCTATTTTATGTGTAAATGTCCAGAGAAATCTTCTAGGAGTGCGGTGGGGGGGGATATTTCTTTTAAATATTTTTCTATATTAAAAACATCATGAATTATAAGTTCAATAAAATCAGAATAGATTTGGATGACAAAAGTAAAACATAATATTATCCTCACTTAAAATAAAGAAAACCAAACCTGTCTTCCAACTGCCTGGAGTGCTGAGGAATAAGAACCCTAAGTTTGAGACTTGCCTAAACTACAGAGTGATTTGCCCATCATGCACAACCTAGCGAGAGACTTTTGTCTTAATATAAAAAATGAGAAAGCACTAAAGATAGGTTCCATTGTAGTGTTTGCCTAACAAACATGAGGTCAGATATTCAAACCTTAGTACTAAAAAGGAAATTTTGCCAATAAAAAAAACCACTGTATTTTAACTACTGATACTTGTTACATGAGAAAAAGAGACATTTTGCACCAGGATCCAAAAGTCCTGGTGACTAGGAAAGTAGGGAGGGAGGACACAAGAAGGCATGGTGTTTTTGCCTTGAGTTCTCCATGATGACTGTTTCTGCCTTCTCGGGGATTTAAGAGGTTGATTACCTTCAGCATATCCATTGAACATACATTTGTATCAAATCACAGGGTTATACTTTTCTCTGTAATTTTAAGAGCTTCCACAAAACTCAAGGGGGAAAATCAATGGATTTGTCAAGAACTGTTGTGCCATGGCTTAGGTTGGTTCATGCTCTGTCTCAAATACTGTTAACTGTGAACAATCAATAGGTTCAAGGCCAAAACCCTCAAAGTCTGAGAGTCTCAGACAAAAGAATAAGGCAAGATATTTGTTTATACTAAGGACACAGTAACCAAACACAGCAAAATAAAAACCTTCAAATTCCGTCCTTGGGTTCCAAGGAGAATAATAAACTGTCACCTCAAGTCAAAATACTAAGTGCAGAAGGGGGAAGTCCCCTTAGCATTAGATGCCAACTCCAAACAGCAATGAGCTTTTGCATGCTTTTAACTGAAGAAACTGTTATAAAGCATAAAAGCAATGGAAAAAAATTTTTTTTTGCCAAGATTATCTCTCTTTCTAATCTAATCAGGACAGCAAGAGAATGTAAATTGTTTTACAGATGGAAGTAAATTTCTTCTTCCTGAGTGGGCAAGAGAGAGTTTGACAAGGAATGTTCCCATTAGCAGACGTTAGTGCTGGCAGGATGAACCGTGAGTCCAGGCAGAGGATGGCAGGTGGCACATGTTCCCGAAGAAGTAGCCCATGGCTACATTTTCACCTCCCTGCAAGGATGGGTTCTGATGGCGGGAGGTTAGAATTCAGAGAAGAATGGCAGGGCTCCATCAGCAAGAAACAGACATGCGGAATGGCCACAGATGGCCATGCGTGGAGCTGGCTAGTCTTGCTAGTCACATGTTTGATTCAGTCATGAAGACTCAGACCCCTGTAGGAAGCAAAGGCTATGGATGGGTGGTTTGCCAGCGAATCCTGTATCCTTAAAGATGTTCAGATATTTTCAAAATTCCTTTTCTTAGGGAGAACAGTAAGGAAATGGGTCTGTTTGTGAAACAGAACAGTCTGGGGCAGGGGTTCAGAAGGGGAAGAACCTCCATCTCTCTTAAGACAATGCCCTTCTGCAGGCTGGGTCTAGGATATCTGTGTACATCAACAAACATGGGTTAGACCTTCCAATAGAATCACCTAGGGTGGACTGGAGTTGTAGACTTTAACAGGGGTTGTTTTAGAACAAAAGGATTACACCTTTTTACCTTCTTGGATGAGAAACCTGCTCTCAAAGGAAACATGCTCCTGGACATCAAATAGACTACTCAAGTGCCAAGAAGCTATGGGCCTGCAGTCAGCTAAAGCATAGCTGTAGTACATCTGTCACAGAGAATGCCACACACGGGAGCACTTCAGACTTAGAGCAAGAAAAGACATGCCTCTCAAGAGGAAGGCTTCCCAAATTAAAGCAGTGTATCAGCATTGTGAGATGCACTGAGCAGGTGAAGACGGAGCAGCTTCACAGCCTGCTGGGAACGAGAGCCCTGATTAAAGGTCATGCCATGCTTCAGGTGCTGCCTTCTTCTGTTGTTCTTCCTTTCGTCTCCACAAACTTGTCGAGTGTCATTTGTAGGTGTCCCCCATGTCCTTCCTTTTCTCCCTCTTTTGTTTACAATGCCTTGCTCTCCCAGAGTGAGATCACTAAGCAGCCAAATGGGGTGCTGTGCTGAGCCATCTGCATTTCTCACCCTCTTCTTTCTTGGGAGCAGGGCTATACCCATCCTCTGTGAATCCAGCCCTCCCGCTGCAGCTCAGACCTGTAGCTGTGGCCTAATTATTAGCATCCTGCTCTAACTGACTGAGTCAACTAGCTGGGAAATGCTCTTTTTGATTTGCAAAGTGTAATCACTAATTAGGTAACTTTCAGAGTTTCTGGAGCAGTTATTTAGGGGAAATTCTAAATCTAAAGCAAAGCAGAGGAAGGCAGGATGATGACGTGTGTTAGTTAAGACCCAATGAGAAGCAACATAGATAGGCCCAGGATTGCAGCTGTACTAGAAGATTTAGGAATAACGTCTGCAAAGATGAAAAGAACACATTCAGGAGAAAGAACTCACTTCTAAGTGATTTTTTTTTTGGTAGCAGGTATCAAACCCAGGACTTCATGCATGCTAAGTAAGCACTCTCTCTACCTCGGGCTACATTGCCAGCCCTAGGCTACTTTCTTTATCATTATTGTTGCTGTTGTTTTTGAGACAGGATCTCACTATATAGCCCAGGCTGCCCTCAAACTTAACCCTCCTGCCTCAGCCTCTTGATTGCTACTAAAATTGTAAGCATGCAGGCCTGTGTTAAGGTCCCTGGCTGTTCTTTTAGATTCTAAAGAAATCTAAAATTTAGAAGATCTGGGTTCAATTCTCAGCTCTCATAGGGTGGCCCATATCTATCTGTAACTCTAGGTCCAATGGATCCAACTCTCTCTTCTGATCTCTGTAGGTACTAGAAATACATGCAAGAAAGACATATATGGGATCTAGTCTATACTGCCTTCCTCTGTGATTTCTGCAAGTCACTTCCTCGGCAAGACTTGAATTTCTATTAAGAAACCACTTAGTCAAAGCTTAACAAATACGTGTAATTTTCCACCCTATGTCCTCCCTGGCTTCACATTTCACCGCCTCTAGATGTGTTGGCTTTTATTTTTTTTTTTTCTTATTTTTCTGTTTGGGACAGCGGCTTCAAACTTGCTATATAGCTTGCTGAAGGTAGCCTTGAACTTCTGGTCCTGCTGTCGTCGCCTTCTGAGTGCTGAGCTTGCAGGCAATTTGTCACCATGTCTGGTTTTATGCAGTACTGGGGAGCAATCCAGGGACCTGTGCATTCCCGACAGGCACTGTGCCTCCTGAGCCACATCCTCAACCTGGTACCCTTTTAAACAAACTGCTGGAGCGAGTAAAACCACAAAACCAATGACCTCAGCACTGTCACTTTCTGACCATGTCAAAGACCGGAGAGACTTTTCTTCTCCAGTTTTTATATATAAAATTATTTGTAGCAACTTCCTGACCAAAATGGATGACAAATTACCCACACTACATGCTGTACAGAACTGAGAAAACCCCAAAGAGTAATATTCTAGAATTCTGAGGTTTGTGGATGAGCAGGACAGTCCTTAGATGGCAAGACATGGAAGCTACCTAAGATTGGACTGTCGGAGTACACAGCCCACACAAAGGGCATAAAAGGCAGAGGAACAGAAACGCACAAAGGGAAGGGATGGAGTATAAAGGGCACCTGTGTCAGCAGCAGTTTTCTAGAATAACCTCAGCCATTCCTTTGAAAGGTGCCATATTCAACCAGGCCTTCCTCAACTCTGAAACTGTTCTGAAAAGTGCCCATGCTTAGGTGAACTCTCATGGAACAGAAACACCCAGTACATCAAGTCCATATGAAAGATCAAACAGCTGGACCAGAGAAGCATTTTAAATAGACGGGGTCTGTTTTCAGTCAAATGTGAAATTCCCTTTTCTGGAGGCACATTTTACTTCACTACAGCATTGATTCCATCTTTTCTGATACCCTTCAAATGCTCGCTGAGAAAATGTGGCACAGTTAAGGACCACTTGGGACAATTATGATGGATGAGTTGAGCCTGCTGGGGATATGCACAGACAGCATGACAAGCTGGGGATCAAAAGCAGCTTCATTCTCAGGTCCCTAAGCAAAAGCACATCATTTTCTCTTTAGATACAGGAGAAAGAACTGGGCTCAGAAAGGATCACCATTATCACAGAAGTGAAACTTAGCATTCCCGTTTTCCTCAAGAAAAGGTGTGTGCAGAGGAAGTCTGTTGGTCACAGACTACTAAAGAATGTCTACAGAATTCTCACAATGCTCTACATGGGCGCATTCTTTTTTCTTTTTCTTTCCTTTTTTTTTTTATTTTTATTTTTCGAGACAGGGTTTCTCTGTAGCTTTTGGTTCCTGTCCTGGAACTAGCTCTTGTAGTCCAGGCTGGCCTCGAACTCACAGAGATCTGCCTTCCTCTGCCTCCCGAGTGCTGGGATTAAAGGCGTGTGCCACCACCGTCCAATGGGCGCATTCTTCATAGCTATGTGAGTATTCAGCTTTAATGTTCTTCCAAGTATGGATCATTCTAGGACATTACAGTAGTTGTCTGTTATCTGCCTTTCTCAGTAAAAGAGGAGTCTCAAGAGGGCAAGAAGTTAAGTTTGCTTCATTCACTGTTGTGTTTTGCTGCCACTGTGGTCCACTGCTTGATGCATAGTCAAAAGTCAGTGAGGATTTGATGAGTGAGTATATGTATGTTTAATTTGAACTTCAAGTCATTTGGGTCAATGAACTTCAAGCTCTGTGCTATAAACCAGTTTTTGTGATCAGGTAAGATGTCTAGCATTTGTAATTTAATGTTGATCAATATGATAGCTGTTAAATCTATGGGATATCTTTAATTGTGGAATATTATGTAGTAAGTTTTTAACAGCATTGTACAAGCTCATGATAAAGTATTAAAATAAACTCAGAGTTAAAGGCACAGTGGAAAATCAGGAACATGACAAGGAACATAAATATTGTCAAAGGGTTATAATGTCATCAGGAGATTCTCCCATACTTGTTATTTTTCTCCTTTCTGGACTTTATTTTTTTTTCCTGAGTAATCATTTAAAAAATGTGTTAAGTGAAATACATAAGGGAAAATATTACTTTGTGGATCACTGATAAGTTAACCTCTTTTCTGATGTGTATAAATAGTCATTTACATGCAACAAGTATATGCAGTAGGCAATGTTGACAATCTTAATAATACTTGAACTTTCTTCTCTCAATTGTTTTTACATGAAAAAAACTACTTTTCAAATAAAAACCATATAATTAAGTTTACTTTGAAAGTTTAATGGCAAAATGATTAGGTGGGAGGGACGATTTAATAGAGAAAATTAAAACAGCTTCTAAAATATTCTGCAATCTCCTTTTTTGGGATTTTCCCCCTTTCTTAAATAAGGTCTTATGAGAGAGACAGAGAGAGGCATAGAGACATAGAAGCAGAGAGACAAGGAGACAAAAAGCAGAGAAGTAAAGAGAAAGAGAACCAGACACAGAGAGACAGGGAGACAGAGAGGCAGACACACACGCACACACAGAGACAGACCCAGAGACAGAGAGATAGAGGGGCAGAGAGGTAGACCTTGACTGACTTTTGAACATATATATATATATATATAATATTAGATAAATGGTCAAATATACATATTTATGAGAACAGATGAGGGCTGTGACAGATCCAATGCTGTACAAGTTGTCTAATTAAAATGGTTTAGCTGACTCATCTATACAATATTAAGTTTTCCACTGAGGTGATCACAAGAATATATTGGAAATACTAAAGAAACTAACACTATAATTGTGATAAATAAACAAATAATCTTCACCCCGGCTTTCCTATCGCTGGGATTACAGACATGCTTCACCACACCCAGTGATTTTTGACTATTTAATTAATCTAGAAGACAGAAAAGGCTATCTATAGTGAAGCTGATAAAAGCAGACATGACAGCAGAGATGACAACTGCTGTCTGGTAGGGAAGGACGCAAAGGCACAAACTTATTATATAAGCATATGGCACTGGAAAGGGGAAGCATTAAATATGCTGGATAGGAGACGTAATATATTTTAAAAGGATTATCATTGCGAATGATTGGGATTTGTAGCTTTCTAATGCTTTAGGGGTCTGGGTGTCATGCAATCCACTTTCCTGTACCAGCTTTGTTATTTATTTACCTTGGATGACTTACTTCTCTCTGTCTGATTCCTCCTAGTAATAAGGGAATAATAATAGCACCTACCTCCTAAAGATGTGAAAACAAGGGAGGCAACCCACTGAAGATGTTAGGAACAGAGCCCAGTGCAGAGTGGGCACCCAGTACAGGCTAGCATAGCAGTTATACCAGGAGTAATATTTGGAGGACTAGCCCCTAGGAAAGAGCTCCTAACCTGGTTTATAAGCCTCACACTGCCCTTTTGCCTCTGGCTGGCCAGGGGCAGTGACAGCACAGAGGTTCCTCCATCATCACAAGGGTTCAGTGAGCATGGGAAGTGCATTGAGCCACATACACAGGGCATGCTGAAGTCACATTAGCAGTTCCTAACTGTGTCAGGTAAATAAAGCCTTGGGGTTCTTCAAGCACATTCTCTTTTTGAGGTAGAGAGTAAAACTCACAGTTTCTACATAGTGAAGTCATGGGAATGAGAAGAAAGATCTAATTGCACTGATGAGTTATCTGGGAGCAATGCACTCAGGTTTAGAAGGATTGTCTGCAACCACTATTGTAAATCCAGCCTAGGCACCACTGCTGGGAAGGAGCGGAAGGGGGTTCCTTCCTTGAAAGGATGTACTCCTCGATGTGCCGGGGAGTCCAGTATATTTCACGTGCAAAGGTTTTACTGCCAGTGCACAGCCTGGTGGAATAAGCCTTACCAGAATGTCCCTGCCATATTGTGGGGACAATTTCATTTTTCCTTTTTTGTTGTTGTTGTTGTTGCTGTTGCCTTGACTGTCATGAACAGCTTAACTCTAAATTCTGCTTCCTCAGCCTACTTTACAAACACAGTATATGTACATACACTTGCACCTACATATTTGTACATGTAAGCACAAGTGCGCATGTGTACACTGTAAGTAAATGCCAAGAAATTACTACATTAATTTCTAACATCCTGCTTCTTTGTAATATATTCTCAAATGATAAAAATCTTTGACACTAAAGACACACATGATTTAACCACATTTTGAGGATGAAAATCATTTGTTTGGATTGAAGACAGTGCCATGATTCAGTCCTGACAGAGATCAAAGCAATGCTTTTCACTTTAAGTGAACCACAATTATTTTTTTAACTATGACCTAATTTCTTTTGTAAAGGAAGCATGAAAGAACTTTCGTTGCCAACTCCAGCTGTCAAGTGGCCTCCCATACTTTTGCCCTAAAGCAAAAGGAAGGGACATCAGGTGACAGATCCCAAATTCCAACTAGTCACACAAATTACAGACCTTCCTATCGAGGAGTCCTCTTGACCTTTTGCTTTTCCCCTACAATGAAGAATGAGACACAGTTTAAATCAAAATGACTCTCATGGGCAGTTTTACAAAACAAATAGAAGGATGGGAGTTCTGTTCACACACCCCCACCCCATGCTTCTTCCCTTCCCCTGCTGGGTGACCTGTCTTCTACCCACACAGGCAGTAGCTAATAATTAGAAGGGCCTTTCCCTCCCCAGACATCCATACTGCCCCATTTTGTTTTGAGTAAAGAGTTTGAGAAAGTAAATATTCACACACAGTTATAATCCCTACTTTCAGGGAACAACACTCTGAAAGGCATTAGTAAGTAAGAAAGGGCTTGCTGTGCTATCAGGCGTGGGGTTGGAGCCCAGCAGAGGGTCTGCAAGGGTTTCAGTATGGAGCTCGGCACCTAGTGTCTTTCTTCTCTTCACTGCTAACATCCATGCCCAGTTTACCATCTACCACTATTAAAAGTCAGCTCAGAAATGTACCAGTCTGGGGTCACAGCCTTAAAATATTACTAATTTTAAAAGTAGAGGAAACCTTTGCAAGTCAACTGAGGAAAATGATGCCAGGGATAATCAGCATTTAGAAAACAGATTGTCATTTATTTTATTTTATTTTAAAGATAAACTGCTTACTGGCTAAAACCTCACTCTGACATGTGTATTACCTGTAGATCTGTTCTCTATAGAACAGGGGGAGCCGAGAAGGCTCTTGGAGTGAGAATCGAAACAGGTGCCTGGGCCCATCGCATTATGCACATTAGCCCATGGCCTCCTCCCAGCCTGTTAAACAGCTGAGTCTGAAACAATAATGGAGCAGGCCAAGCACCCGCCTGAAGGCCTGTCTGCCTTGGGATTTGGCCATTTGCACTGATTTTCTTTCTTTCTTTTTTTTTAATCACGTTTTTCATGAAACGCAAATATTTGCCATGGCAACTGGGGTGTCACATGACATGCTGTTCCATAAGCAGCCTTGCAATCTCTTAGGAGGAAATGACCCACCAATGCTGAAAATGCACCCTACACCTCTTGAGGGTGTTTGGTCTGGGAGAGCAGGGAGCATTCTGTAGGCACAGTGGGGTGGGTGGCTCTGGAGTTGCTCTCCAGTTCTTCTTTCTTTTATTCATGAGGGCAGTTAAAGACATGACTAAACAAGGCATACCAGAAAAGTACTGCCAGATGTCTCCTTTCTATGGAGAAAAGTTTCAATTATCCTAAATCTGTCAGTGGTCCTTAAAATGAGAAAGCAACCTATAAAAAGTCCAGTATCTTTAAACTGGGGCTATCGTCAGAGGGTGAAATATATTGTACTATAAGGGACTAATGTTAAAGAACTTATTTATTACACTTGTTTATTAGTTTATTATAAATTTATTATATATAAATCTATTTATTAAAGTTTAGTTCTTTTAACTAATGTTAGTTAATTAAATGTTAGTTAAAGGAACCCCTTCCTCCTCCCCATCATGATTTTCTATGCAAACTTGGAGGCTTGTCTTTCCTATGCTTAAAGACAAATGAGATGTGGTAAGGGCCTCCCAATAGCACCCCTTGTACAGCACAGATGTAGATGTAAAGCAGAGTTACTGTACCCCAGACTCTTGGCCCCTGACCAGCTGCTAGCATAGATCTCACAAGAATGCAATGGCTCTGGCTATCTTAGACACATGGTCATGGAGTCCATTTATGCATTCATCTCCCCTTTTTAAAACAGGCGCTGACTATGTGCTCAGTAGTGAGCAGAGTGTGGGAGGCTCTGCCTTTGACCCATTGCACCACAGAGAAGAGTCATAACAATAGTAGCTGCAATGCTCCCAGGAGCTGCTGAAAAGATGCTATTGCAGAGCCCAGCTTTCTTTCTGTGTTAGAAACATGAGTACCTTCGTCTTTTGTTTCTTGTGAGGCTCTTCCACATCTTCTGCAATTTGGTATGACTTCTGACCTAGAGCAAAGGGGACTGTGGAGGGAGGTAGGGCAAAGTTATTTCTTTTAGAAAGAGAGGCTGAGCCATTTGGTGGTTGCTGTGGAGTTCAGCTCACAAGTCCTGTGGCTCTGTCACCACTGTTTGCTTCCTCCCTGCATTTCCTGTACCCAAATCATGACACCTCTGTGACTGCTAACTCCAAAGCCAAATCTATGGGAGGACAACTACTTCCTTAGAACACATGGTCAGGCCAGGTGGTGGTGGCGCATGCCTTTAATCCCAGCACTCAGGAGGCAGAGGCAGGCGGATCTCTGTGAGTTCGAGACCAGCCTGGTCTACAAGAGCTAGTTCCAGGACAGGCTCCAAAACCACAGAGAAACCCTGTCCGAAAAACCAAAAAAAAAAAGACATGGTCAGCCCACCACATGCAAAATGCCTGGACAAAAATTAGACCTGTAAAGCACAAGGATTAGAGAGGAAACTTTGTTTCTTAAAACGAAGACTCCTTTAAATTGCCACATTTCCAAGTTTATGGACAAGATAATTAATATAGTTGCATATGATGGACTATTTTATTGGGTAGCTATTAAAAAAAGATGACTAGAAATTAAAATGTTAAAATGCCCTGAGGGAACTGATTTGGTGAATAACACCATAAAGATTATTTTTGGAATTATTAATCTACAAGCAACAACTCTCTCAGTCATTTCTTTCCTGCCAGCTGGCTGCAAACTCAACTGCCCTCTGCAGATAGGCCAAGCTTGGCCTTCTAGGGAGAAAACCCTTCCATTATTCTTACCAAGGAAGAAAAGGATTATTTGAATGGCTGTTGAATACAAACATCCCAAGTCCTTCAACTCAGCCCTCTTTTCTGTCTGTTCTGTAACAGCAGTCTTTGAAAGAACTGACATTGATCAAATGTAACAAATGATAGCAGTGCACAACTTAGGCTCACTCGGAGGACTCAGTTAACTCAGCCTCAACTTGGGCATCTCTTTAGAAGTAACAAGAATTTCAGAGCATCAAAACTTGCCACACGAGGAATTTGTTTGTTACATCTGGCCTAGTCTTACCCACTCTCTGATTACTGGCTTCTAGCGAGTCCCTCTGTGACTCCTCCCCATTCTGTAGTCCAGTACACCACACAGAGTCAGCAGACCCCATTAGAAGCCTACAAGTTCTTGCCTTGACCTCTGCACTCTTCTTTCTGGTGCTCACTTGGAACTCTGCTGTCCTCCTCTGCCCCATCCTGGGTGTCTTGAATTCATACATTTACAAGCAGAACTTGTTTTTCCTAATGTCTGCAGACTCAGTACAGTTTTTGTTTACCTTTTAGGCTCCTAAAGACAAGTGAGCTTTGAGGCTAAATTCCTGTGCTTAGACAACATAGTACTTGACAAGTTTTCAACTTTTTTTCTCTACTCTTTTATTATTATTATTATTATTATTATTATTACAAATTTTCACCTCCTCACCTCCTCCCATTTTCCTCCCCCTTCCCTCAATTCCCCTCCCCCTCCCTCTTCAGTCCAAAGAGCAGTCAGGGTTCCCTGCCCTGTGGGAAGTCCAAGGTCCTCCCCCCTCCATCCAGGTCTAGGAAGGTGAGGATCCAAACAGACTAGGCTCCCACAAAGCCAGTACATGGAGTAGAATAAAAACCCAGTGCCATTGTCCTTGGCTTCTCAGCAGCCCTCCTTGTCAGCCACGTTCAGAGAGTCCGGTTTGATCACATGCTCCATCAGTCCCATTCCAGCTGGCCTTGGTGAGTTCCCATTAGATCGGCCCCACCGTCACAGTGGGTGGGTGCACCCCTCTCAGCCCTGACTTCCTTGCTCATGTTCTCTCTCCTTCTGCTCCTCATTTGGACCTCGAGAGTTCAGTCAACTTTTAAAGAATTTTGGTTAAATTTAGAGAAGAGGTTGCAAAGTCTTATCCATTTTGCACAGATAAGGCACAGCCAATGGGACCTACGGACTCTCGGGTGCGGCTTTGCTGCACTTACTCTCTGGCCATGGACTTTATGGGACACACACAACTGAGCAGTATGCCTGTATCTTTATAAAGTTGTATTCCTAGGATTGCCTGATTTCAAAGTCAGGTTCCCTTCTGGAAAGTTTCTAAGACAAACATTTCTAGGAGAGACATTGGCCATTTCAGAAGGGGAAAAAAATCATTCATTTGTAAAGTAAAAAAATAAATAATTTTATGTGTAAAATTATATTTTTGCTGCATGTATGTCTGTATGCCTGGTGGCAACAGAATTCAGAAGAGGGCATTGGATCCCTTGGAACCAGAGTTTCAGACAGTTGTGAGCTGTCACGTGGGTGCTGAGACCTGCAGCTGGATCCTCTGCAAGTGCTCTTAACCACCGAGCCATCTCTCCGGCCCGTTGGTATTTTTCTTGACAAATCTGTATGCTTCTGTGGTCATTACTGATGCCTGCATACAAATGGCCTCCTCCTTTCTTCCTGAATAATTTAACACCTGTTTTTCTTTAGGGTGAGAATATACCCAGTTCCTAAGGTTGTCAGATTTATCAAGAAATAAAGAATATGTAATTTAAAAGTTTAATTTTGGAAGTCAGTTTTAAATATATCTCAATTATTAACTATATTTAGGTAAGCCAATAAAGGACAGAATGCTTACTGATGGATTGGACTGATCACAACTCATCATGCTATGTATTCAGTCTAAGCAGTCTAAATAAAAACACTGACCCTATCCCTGGATATTTCCCTGTCTCCCCTGTGGCTAATGGTCATGTACTGATAGATTTAAAAGGAAACATGCCCATCACCACTGTTTCCCCCCCCCCTTTCCTACCTAGAATGTGTATGGAAGGCCCAGGTTTGCAAGAGGGATCTTACAGCCGAGACATGATGAACTTGAGGATGGGAGCAAACTTGCTGGAGGTCAATTAGACGAAGCACCTGCCAGTCCTCTCACCCCAACGTGAAGAACTATTGCTAAAAAGACTAAACTCACAAAGTTCCGGCAAGGATGTGGATAAAATGAACACGCCCCTGCACACTCTGCCAGGAGAAACGTGCTATAGCAGCAGAAACGAAGCAGGTGTTTGTAGTCAGGGTGAGGAGACAGTGCAGCCAAAGAGTTACAGAAGTGAGCTTTATGGGGGGAGGACAGGGGTGTGCATGAGGTTGGCTGGGCAGGCCCTGACTGGCTGCAGGAAGGACATTTCCCAATAGGAGAGTGAAAGGAGCAGGCTGTCTAATGCAACCGGGTGCAAAACTGCAAATTCAGAAGACTTTAATGGTAGGTTTCTTTTTCCTGGGTGAGGGGTGTGTCCATTGGAGGAATTGAAACCCACTGCAACCTTGTAAGCAACTCATTGGTGGACTGAGACAAAATGGTGTCACCAGTGTTAAGCCATATCAATGGGAACATAAATTATGGAAAACGGAGATCCCACAAGAACTAATAATAGAACACAATGATTGCCACATATGTGAAATCTAGATAGGTTAATTTCATAGAAGTTGACAGTAGAATGGTAGCTAACAAAGGCTTGGAGAGTAAGGGGGAAGGAGAGAGATGGGGAGATATTGCTCATGGTGTTGAATCACAGTGTCTTAGATTTCTATTGCTATGAATGAACACCCTGCCCAAAAGCAATCTGGGAGGAAGGAGTTTATTTCAGCTTACAGGCTGTAGTCCATTATCCAGGGAAGTCAGAGAAGGAACTCAAAGCAGGAAGCTGGAGACAGGAAATGATACAGAGGCCATGGAGGAGTGCTTCTTCTCAGTTTGCTCCCCAGGCTTGCTCAGTCTAATTAAGTATACACCTAGGTTGCCAAGGGTGGCGCTATCTAAAATGGCTGGGTCCGCCTATATCAGTCACTAAACAAAAAAATGTCCCATAGACTTGCCCACAGGCAGATATTATGAAGGCATTTTCTCAATTTAGAGTCCCTTTTCCCAAATGATTCTAGCCCATGTCAAGTTAATGGAAAATTAGCCAGCACAGAATCAGAAAAGAACAAGAAGTTTTGGTGTGCTATTTCAACGAGTATAGTGACAGTTGATAATAATGTCCCACATATGTCAAAAGTTCCTACCATATAGAAATGATAGATATTTGAGATGAATTTGTTCACATTGGTTTAAATATTATGCAATACATATATGTATAAAAATATAACATAACCCATTAGCCATGTGACATTTTATATATTTGCTAAATAAAAATGTAAGAAAACATTACAAAGGAGTATAGGTCAGCCTCACACATGAACAAAAAAAATCATTCATGAACATTAAAGCAATCATATATATATGCATATATATGATAAAGCAGTCATCATAAAATGCCCCTTAAGCAATTACAAACACACTTAAAACAAATTAAAAATTATAAAATCTTTACAATGAATTAGAATGTATGAAAAGAAACAAAATGAAAAAAAACTAAAAATGCAATAACATAAGTTCAAAAGTACAGAGAATGACTCAAAATTAAAATGAAAGACACAAAGGAATCAGTGATTTGGAAGACAGAAAAGCAGAAATCACTCAATCTGAGTAACAGACACGAGGCAGAATGAAGAGAAGTGAGCAGAGCCTAAGGACTTATGGGACAAGAGAGTCTGCGTCTGTGCCATTGCAGTCGATACAGAGGGAGAAAAGATACAGAGGGAGGCTGTAAGAGAAACAATGGCTGTGAGCAATCCACACCTGGTAAATAAAAGCCACAGGTTTAAGAAACTAAGCCAAGTGGAAGTGGGCAAAAGCTGAGGAATATCATGCTAAAAACTGAAAACTAAAAATGCAAAATAAAATATCAAAAGCAGACAGAGAAAAGTCATATCTTACCTACTGGAGAAAAACTTCACTGTCAATAGGTTTCTAATCAGAGGCTGAAAAAAGACATGGCATGACTTTTTTTCCTCAAGTGCTAAAACAAAGACATGGCAACCAGAATCATATGCTTAATGAAAAGTTTTTGAGGGGCTGGAGAGATATCTCAGTGGTTAGGAGCACTAACCGCTCTTTCAGAGGACCCAGGTTCAATTTCCAGCACCCACATGGCAGCTCACCCACTTCTCTGTAATTCTAGGTCCAGGGAATCACACACACACATACACACACAAGCAAAACACTAATGTACATTTTAAAAAAATCATGCTTTTTTAAAGCAGCTTTGAAAAAGTTTTTCTTTTGGGAAAAAAAGATGGGAACTCAACGCATTCCCAGATGAAAGAAAATCAAAATAATCTATCATCCATATACAGACTCTAAGAGAATGACTAAACAGGAAGGAAATGATCAAAGAAGAATGCTTGCAAGACGAGAAAGTGAAGAACACAGACAGCAAATTATCAGCAGAAATAAAAGACATTCTTTTTCCTTTTGCATCTAGACATTATTTTTGATGGTTGAGCCAAAAATCTTTTACACTTCCTGGTATGAATCTAAATGTAGGCAGATGAAGCAGACATAAAAGCACCTTAAGACACAGGGATCGCATGTCTACACATTCATCCAAAAGAGGAGAGCACGCATGCAATCACACACCTAAGGATTCATCCAGAGAGTGAGTTCACTCACTCCATACAACGCCTGCACACTCATGTTTATAGGCGCTGACTCAGAACTGCAGAAAGCTTGAAACGACCGTTTCCTTCAACAGGTGCACAGCTTAACAGCTGCAGCATGCTAACATGGAACATTACTTAGCAGCTGCAGCATGCTAACATGGAACATTACTTAGCAGTACATGGGTAATTATCGCAACGAGCTTCAACTGAATTCAACAAAATATTAAAAAGAATCCATATCATGACCAAGACAGATTCATTCTGAATGCAAAGAGGGGACAACATATGTGTTAGTTAAAAGTAATACAGCACATAAACATAATCAGATAAAAGTCCTGTAGTTATTTCAATACACACACAAAAAGTCTTTGACAAAGTTCACAATCTTTTCATGATAAAAAAAAAAAAAACTCTGAAGAAACTAGGAAGAGAATGAGCATACCTCACCATAATAGAGGCTACATGTGGGCTACATAACCTAATGATACAAGGAGTGTGAGAAAACTAAAATCAGGGAAGAGACAAGGTGATCAACTCTTCCCATTCTCACTCTGTATAGTTCTTGAATTCTTACTCAATGCAGTAAGGCAAGAAGAAATAAAAGGGTTGTTGTTAGGAAATAAAAAGTCAAATAATCATGTTTTCAGATTTGAGCATATACATAAAGGACTCTATCAGAAGATTCTTGTTCTGATTTTAAAAAAAAACTTTCGACAAGTAGAATGGTACTAAATCAACACACAAAACCTAGTAGATTTTCTTTCCTTTGCGGGGGATGGGGTTTGAGACAGGGTTTCTCTGTAGTTTTTTTTTTTTTTTTTTTTTTGGTTCCTGTCCTGGAACTAGCTCTTGTAAACCAGGCTGGCCTCGATCTCACAGAGATCCGCCTGCCTCTGCCTCCCGAGTGCTGGGATTAAAGGCATGCACCACCACCGCCCGGCTATATTTTTAAAATAGAAAAGAAGAGCAAGAAATAAGCCTAAGAAGTTATGACTATGTGATTCTTGACAAAGATACCAAAAAATATGTATTGGAAAAAAAAGACAACCTGTTTACCAAATGATGGGAAAACCAGATGTCCATATATAGAAGACTGAAACTAAAGCCTCACCTCTCATGCTGTTCAATAACTAAACCAAAATGGACCAAAGACTTTAAGGTAGTACCTGAAACTCTGAGAATTCTAGAGAAAAACAGGAAAAACAGTTCAAGATCTAAGCATGGGCAAAGGCTTTTTAAATAGCCAATATTTCAAGAAATAATAACAAAACATTAATGTGATTACATAAAATTGAAAAGCCTTGTCCCTGAAGAAGAAACCTTTTAGAACAGGAGAAAGGCTTTGCTGGCTGTCCAACCATGTTTAGAGTATATAAAGGACTCCAAGGATTAACCAAAGAGTAAATACTCAAGTCAATAAATAGGAAATTAAGCTGAAAAGATGATCTCCAAAGAAGTACCAGTGTCCCACTAATAAAGAAAAGAATGCTCAGTGTCTCACAATGAATGCTATAGAGGATCCAGGGAGGAAAAGGGAACACTGATTCACAATTGTTTCCACACTAGTTTCCATAGAGTGGACTAATTTACATCACCATATGATTCAGCCATATCACATCTTGGCATATAAATAAAGGACTCAAAATCAGTTTACTGTAGATATGCCTGTTTCTCCTTGAATCCTTGAATCAGCTTGGCTTCTTATCCAGAGATAATAATTTAAATAAATAAATAAGAACACACAGACAATGGGGTCTATTAAGACAATCACACCATTTGCTGGAAAATTCATGGGACCTGCCTATTTTCCATAAACACAAGTATTTTCTAATTTTCTCATATGTAGGAGTAGTTAGGAGAAGGGAAAGATAGGAAGATCAAAGGGAGATAACTATTGGTGTAGAAAGGGAAGGAGAAGGGGGTGGGAACAACAGAGTAATAAAAGAAGTGAATATGGCTAAAGTATATTGTATTCATGGAAATGTCAGAATGTATCCCCCCCAAAAAAAAAACTACAACCTGGAGGATTCTCCTGAAAATTGCCCTTAGTGGAGAAATACCCAACCCAAAGGTTACATACTCCTATGAGTGCATTTATGTGACAGTTTTGAAATGACAAAATTATACAATGAAGAACAGATTTTTGGATGGCAGGGATTAAAGGGGTTTAGAGAGAAGTTGATAGGGCTGTAGCCTTTGGTGATAAAAATATTCCGGTCTTGACGGAATCAGTATCCTGACTGAGGGTTAGCACATAGCTTAGTGATAGAGTGCTTGCCGACCATGGACAATGCCCTATGTCTGGTCCTCAGTACAAGCAATATATATCCTGATGGTGATATCATACTATAATATTTCACTTTGTTATTATTTGGGGAAAGCATGCAAATAATTCTATTAGTTCTTATAAATACATGTGGGGTATATACTCATCTCAATAAAACTTTCATCTTAAAAAGATATTATAAAGGATAATAAAACATCAAGTCACAGAGTAGGAAAATTATACATAGAACTCATAAAAAATTTGTACTGTGAATATATAAGTAATATCTTTACTAAAAACAGAAGGACAAAACAGTTGCAAATAAAAAAACCCAACATCCTAGATCACTTCATAAAAGGACATTCAAACAACAAATAATACATCATTTTTTCAAACTTGTTCTACTTTGTATTTTAATTTTTTACTATTTTGCCTTGTTTCCCCAAGCAAACTTAAATCCTCTTGAAAGCACCAACTCTCTAACACACCTTGCAGAGACTCTCAACTCCCCAACACAGTGCACAGGTTCCCAGGCTCTCAACTCCCCAACACAGTGCACAGGTTCTCAACTCCCTAACACAGTGCACAGGTTCTCAACTCCCTAACACAGTGTACTGGTTCTCAACTCTCTAACACAGTCCACAGGCTCTCAACTCCCTAACATACTGGCACAGGCTCTCGACTCTCTAACACACCGGCACAGGCTCTCTGTGGATATTCTGAGCTGCTTTGTTTACTCAGATAATCTCAAGATGCTTTAAACTCTCATCCTGTGTATTATTGATGATTAAAGCTGTCCACTGGCAGAGTCTGGGTTTGGGAGAGAGAGACCATTCCTGCAGAACCCCCAGCTAAACCCACAGGCATGATGTCTTACCTTCTGGTGGAATCTTACGTGGCTCATCAAAACTATGCAGATGAATTGCGTGGGGTTTAATGGGTGGATTCTGAAAGGTAATCCTTGCTGTTGGGGGAATCAGCCCTCGTTCTATCATACTTAAGATCCCTAAAAGGAAGGTTAAGAGAACAACAAAACACTAGTTTAAGCAATTCCGAAGTCTGAGCTCTGTGAATTTCACAATGGTAACTTGACATCATTTATCATCTTATTTGTAAAGGTACATTCTAGTGCCTTAATCTTTTGCATGAAAAATAGCTACAGTACACTTTAAGCTTAATATCCTAACCCAAGGGGAAAATCATTTCCAATTGCAGTAATATAAAATCAAATCACACCAAGATAATTTCATTTTTAGGTAGAAATATAATTTCAAGACAACTAAAACTTCCTTACACTTAGAGAATTTTCAATCACTGGTGATTTTATTGTTCTTTTTGAAATTCAGGGATGTGAGGCACACATTCTTAAAGCAAAGATGATCTTTTGTTCTGAAAGAAATCAAGTCTATATACTTGAACCTGTGTGCCTGCTGTTCTAATCACTCATATTTTGTAAATGAAGGAATTACCTTTAGATATGATCATATCATCAGCAGTTATGAAAGCCAGATTGGATATTTGATTCTATTAGGGCAACATGTTCATGAACCATTGGGCAGTTTCTTGTCATCAGTAAGGCTGCAGCCAGGTCTTTCTAAGGACAAGGCACCTTGTTAAACAAGTAAATGGACAAACAATTGAACAAAGCCTGCTGTCAAGGACAGAGCTTTCCTCAGAGTGCATCTACTATTTCGACGTCAAAAACCCAGAACTTTGGGGACTACCTGCAACAAACTTGGGCTGGAACTTCTGATTCTTGCTGTGCCCTTGCCCAATAGAAAGAAAAGTGAACAACTTTCACTTCCAACAAATACCTAGTATACAAACTAAAACCAAGCTGGACTAAGCTGAAGAAATTGGCACTCCTAGGAAGGAATACTGTTTGCTCTTGCTTCAGGAACCTCATGGAGACAGTATATTGTTATTAGAAATGTTAGCTCGGTGTCACAGGAAGTCAGAAGGACCACTGATGGGCTGGAAAACTGAAGACTCCACCTATAAAAGAGTCATTCCAAAGAAAACTCTCCGTTTACATACAACACAGTCATTTGTGGGAGGTTTTTTGTTGTTTTTTTTTTCTTATTGAAGGTGGAGATTTCTGATCCTTGACCCAGACCTGTCCGAAAACTCAAAAGCAGAGCTTGAGGATATGAAGTCTTGAGGCTTCTACATGACAAGTATGTGCCCTGACGTGTGAGCATGACGATCCGTGTTAGCCAGCACTCCAGTCCATCCTCTGTTCTATGCTTACAACTTTAAACCCTCTATGAAGTCAGTCAGGTTTCAACTTTCTTATCATTAGAACTGAAGGATCTCTGTATTTGAAAATAGTAAGAAAAAGAATTTGTCCTCCCTAATATTTTCCATAATTCATCCCAAATCCCATGTGTAAGAGCTATGCCTGCCTTCCAGGTATGAAACTAGATTCTGGTCTGTGTACCAAGAAACTTGTATTCTCACCCACTGACTCTGTGGGGAGCTTTATTTCTTAGAGTTTGCCAGACAATTCTAGAAAAACTAGGAAATCTTTTTCATGTGGATATTGTTCATCTTTCATCTCATGCTGGACTTGTGCAGACCTGGAGTGGCTCATAAATGTCACTTAAGAGCACCAAAATACCTGAAAATTCCACACATATTTCTGTGACTTGTGCTTTCCCGACACTAATATCTTGTTGTACAATAACTAGACATATGGCAAGTACTCCGTGAGGACTAATTGGTTGACTAATTACATATATGATAGGCCATGTGTTCTTTGGTTGCTTTAGAAATAAAAATGTAACTTCTGTCTATCTGCATAAATGGCCTTGATCCTAGATTCAGCTTGGTCTTGGTTATTTTCATCTGCTAAAGCAAGGATCATTCGTTCACTCATACTAATTCCATCCAGGCAGGAGATGACACTGAAGCAAGAAATGCCAGGTTATTTCTGTTACTTAGTGCTCCTGGGGCATCAGCAGTACGTAAGCTACCATAAGGTGGATGCCACAAGACTTCTTGCTGCTAAAAAAGAAATAATTAAAGCTATGGGAAGCTTAACAAATTCAGAGACTCATTACATTCTGGGGTATTCACCACCAGCAGACAGAGGTCAGTAGGCAAGACACAAGAGCTAGACACGAGAGGATCTTGAATCTCTAGGTATCACAAGAATGGTTTGAAAACAACTCTGGGTCCTGAATATTCCAAACAGACAGGGAGTGAGACTACAAATAACTCACGGCCATCTTACTCCACTATAGTTGAGATAGAAAAGGGGATCCACTTAGCCATTCTTCAACACTTTAGCCAATCAAATGATCTAGGGAAAACTAAGGATTATAGTGGATATCCAACCCTCATTCATCTATGTAGTCCTTTCATTTGTCTATTTATTCATTCAAGTCACATTTTTACCTACAGAACTCTAATACAGTCCTGGGCACTGTGAATCCTGAGGTAAAGATGATACAATCTTTTTTTATTATTAAAAACCCAATAGTTTGTAATAGTAGACTTTAAATTAAAACTCACATAGAGGGGTGGCTCTGTGGCTAAGAGTAGTAGCTGCTTTCAGACAACTCATGTTTAATTCCTAGTACCACTTGGAACTCCAGTTCCAGGAGATCTGATGCCCTCTTCTAGCCTCCAAGAGTTTAATCATGCATACATATAAACTGATAAGTAGTAAAAATTAAAAAACGATAGTTATATTATCTCTGGCTTTGTGGTTCTGCACAGCAGTATTCTGTAATAACATTAAAGACAATCAGAAGAGCATCAGAAACCACTTAGAAAACAGTAACTTTTAATAATATCACGTCAGCAATATAACAATCTTAATACATAGCACCAATATATACATCAATAATAAAATCATGAAATGGTGGATCTAGAAGTGGAAGAAGCTCTGGTGAGCGCTTAGTCCAGGGTGAAACTAAGCCCAGGTGAGGTCTGACTTGTCTGGGGTCACTTAGGAAAATTAGTGACTGAGCTAGTATCCAACTTAGGGCCCTGATCATGCTCAAGGCTCTAACTTTCGCATCCCTAAACGTAACACGCTGCACAATCACTAACCTTTACTAGCATCCTTTTGCAAGATGGGAATGGGAATGAAATGGGGATCAGTGCGATGAGAAGATGGCAGAACCGTGAGGTTGGATATTGTGGACCCTTTTATTAACCGCTGAACCTTCTCCTAGGTGAAAAAAAAAAAGCTGTTGTTAGCTGACATTTTTGCCTTCACAATGAACACAGTTTTTTTTTCTTGTGAACAATAAATTAGATTATGAATAGTTTCATTAAGTTTTAATAAAGTAGCAATACCATCTCCAATTTTATTGCTCATGAGTACCCTGTGCTACTGTCTACTGTCAGGATTTTGTGTAATTTAAAATAGTTAATTAAATCCAATTAACATGTGGTGATTTCCACTATGCAAATGCGGTGTAGTAGTTAATAAAGGAACTATTAAGATTTTGTTCAATTTTAATGACTACAATATAAAAGTACTAAATCTTTACATAGGAGGTTTTGAATACAGCAAAGTTGTGCAAAGCAGATTTCCCAGGAAATAAATAAGAGTCTGGAGGTTATAAAAGCAAACTGGAAGGATTTAAAGAAAAGCACTTCAGCCATAGTACCAGGTTAAGTCTGAACACTGAGCAAACTGTTGAAAACTCATCAAAGGACAAAGGTGCAATGTCACACAGATAATCAGTCACACAGATAACCACTGTTCTTGGGGTCAGAAATGTTCTTATTGTAGTTATAAAACAGGAATTGATTCTGTTTAGTGGGGTTTAGATTTTAAAGCTCATATGAGCTGCATATAAGTCATGCTTAATTGTATAGCTCAAGTACATTTTTTTTTACCTTGATCATGAGAGGTTGTGGATTACTGGACCCCTCAGCAGGAAGAATTCCTCTCTCCGCTGTTTATAAAAACATTTACATTTCAAGTCATTTTCCAAGCATTAGTTAATTTGCATAGCTTCCAGGGGAACAAGGTAATGGTTTACTACTTAACTTATGAAGAGCTCAAAGTATAAAAGTTAGTAGATTTGCTTCAGGACACACATATACCAAACATGCAGTTTGTCTATTTAAAATGAATCTGGGTTTTCAACAGTGGACGATGTCATTGGTCTCAGCTGTATTACACTTCTTGCCCACCAAGCTTAAGAAAAGAAAATGGAAAGTTTCTTCTGAGTGCAGAGATAGAAAAATCTTATGGATTAAATATTAGCTGAGCTAAGTATTAGTGTCCCCAGCCAGGATGTGGTACTAAGGGGCAACCACAAAGCAGCATCTCCCACCGCACTCTTCATGATGCTCAGCAAATAGGAGCAAGAATTGTTCTCTTGGTGGTGTGGATAGAACCCAAGGTCTTGTACATGTTAGGCAAGTACTGTACCACAGTGCTGAACCCCATTGCTACACATATTATTTAAGAAAAAAAGCGTGTGTATACATGTGCAGGTCTGGGGCTAATATTGGGTATCTCCCTGGATTACTCTCTTCTTTACTCATTGAGGCAGAGCCTCTTGCTGAACCCAGAGCTCACTGATTTGGCTTGCTAACAGCTTGTCCAGAGGATCCTATTTCTGCCTTCCTGGGATGATAGGCTACCTCTGCAACTGCTCAGTTTTTCTAGGGATCCCATCTCCAGTGCTTACACTTGGGAAGGCTTGTATTTCATCTATTGGGCAATCTCCCTGGCCCTTAATAGCATTTCAAGAGGGAAAAGTAGACAGGAAGTGCTCTCTGTTGCCTTTCATGTGAGTTGGAATGGGAAGAGCAGGTGCAAATAGCCTTGCCTCAGTTGCAGTGGGGGACTATGTGGGAGGGTCATGCAGAACTCCAGGCTTGCTGAGATAGTGGGGTTGCTCACCCTTGTCCTTAGCTCTCTTCTCTCCTCCTCTAGACCTGAGTTGCTTCTGGAATCTCCTAATATGAGAGACAGAACTAATCACCCATTGTATTGTGACTAGACTGGCATATGTGTTACAATGGGTTAAAGCT